CAGATGTTAGTAGCAAATTTTGCTTTCTCCAACAATCTATCTATAACGTAATATTCGTGATTGTTTAAAATTCCCCCTTTTTTAAATTTGAAAATATGAATTTTCTATTTGAGGGCAATGCATTGATTGTGAATAATTTGTAAATTTGCTGTTAACATCTTTACTGTAAATATTTTTTTCAGTTTGTAATAACACATTTTACGGTCACATCAACATAAAGTACCCTCTTCGTATCATCGAACCACCGCAGCGACATCTTCCGTTCTTCTGTAAAATAACGTTTATGGCAAATGACGGGCAGCTAGGTAAAATCGTTGAAATTAAGTTTCTTTCGTTCACCATCGGGACATTACAGCACACAGAGTGAGTACTATTTTATTTTCATTAGTTTATAGCGATATATTAGTTTATAATTAGTTACCCATATTTTTATTAATTACTGAGCTTTCTTCCTTTCACTTTATTAACATTCTAGCTTCATCTTGCATGACTATAACATCACGTATCATGTCTTAATGTCTTCTTTTATGTAGCTCTATTTCACGTTGTAATGCCAAATTTAAAATTCTCATTACACCATTGCCATAAACAAATCTATGTTTTGTCTACCAACTCTTCATCTGAGCACCTAGCTAAGGAATAGAGCGAGTATTTGGAACCCACAGTCACTTACAAACTGACCTGGTTTACCGAACTACACCCAAGGGTATTTGGCATACGGGATTGTATGACCTGTATCATATGTATAAGCACAACGGTACTGGATTTTTTGACCATTATTATATGGGTAAACACAACGGTACTGGATTGTTTGACCTGTATCATCAGTATAATATTAGGTCGTCAAGAAACGTACATCACAGTATAATAGTTAAACTAACCACCTAAGCGTCACGTTAGTATAACCTATATAATGTGTAAAGGTTAGTATACTCTAATCCCTTATAGTGATGGCACACGACGAGACACACATTCGGCATGTTATGCTTTTTGAACACAAGAAGGGAAACAACGCCTCTGTAGCCACAAAGAATATCAAAGAAGTCCATGGAAAT